ATATGCAAAGAACTTACAGGACTTAACAAAAACAAAGTAAACAATCCAGTCAAGAAATGGGCAGAATGGCCTCCTTGGTGGCACGGAGGGTTGAGCGCAGTGCTGTGAAGCTGTCCACAGCCTCTGCAACGTGGATTCGATTCCTGGCCAGCCAGGGAGGCAGACATATGGCGCGGCAGACCTCCCCTGTCTCACCTGCTGCTCCAGTCAGCAGTGTATTTCGGTCGTCTGCCTGTTCTGTCTCTGGTGAATTCTCTCACCCTCCCACACCTCTGGCCTTATACCACAGTGCTTGTATAAATAAATAAATCTTTAAAAATAAAGAAGAAATGGGCAGAAGAACTTAAAAGACATTTCTCCAAAAGGAAATGCAAATGGCCAACAGGCATATGTAAAAATGTTCAACATCCCTTATCATCAGAGAAATGCAAATCAAAACCACATTGAGGGTCTCCCCGGTGGCACAGCGGTTGAGCGCTGGGTTGCGAAGCTGCCCGCGGCCTCTGCGGTGCCGGTTCGATCCCCGGCTGCTCCCCGGCCACCAGAGGAGGGTCCCACATGGCGCGCAGATCTCTCCTGCCGCCTGCTGCTCCCCTCAGCAGTGTACTTCGTTCCTTCTGCCTGCTCTGCTCCCCGCTCTGGCTCTGGTGAATTCTCTCACCCTCCCGCGCTTCTGACTGTACCCAGTGCATGTATAAACAAAACAAACAAACAAATAAATAAAACATGCCTCTAAAAAAAAAAAAAAAAACAACACATTGAGATACAGGGGACTGTGGTGATGGTGCACGGGTGCATTGATGGGACAGCAGACCTCTCCTGACTCGCCCACTGCTCCCCTCAGCAGTGTATTTCAGTAGATCTCCCTATTCTGCTCTCCACTCTGCCTCTGGTGAATCCTCTCACCCCCACACCTCTGGCCTTTTCCCCAGTTCTTGCATGCATAAATAAATAAGTCTTTAAAAAAGGAAAGTTAACAATCCTTCTCAAAATTTTGTCAAAACTTTAAAGACAGCACTGGCAAATACATTCTCTGAGATGCAGATTACCATGACACCAAAGCCAGACAAACACTAGAAATGACAGAAAATACATGCAAATATTCTTTAAGAATACTGATGCAAAAATTTTCAACAAAATCTAACAAACTTATTTTAACAGAATATCAAAAAGTTTATACACAGTGACAACTAAGATTCAATTCTGTGATGCAAAACATCATTCAACAGACAGAAATTAAATAATACAACATCCTTTTAATTTGTTTGAAAACACCAAACTACTTGATCATTTCATTTGATGTAGGGAAAACTTTCGATGAAATCTAACTACACTTCTACATACAAACAATCTAATTAGGACTGTAGAAAATGTCCTGAACATGATATAGATTATATAAAAAATATGGATTTAATTTATCAAGAACTGTGTGCTCTGAAATGAAGGCCTCTTTGGATGCAAAATAGCATTGTTTGTCATGTCAAATACTATTCCCCTAATATCAAGAGAAATGTAGGGATGTCACTTAGTTCATTCTGTTCAACAATGTGTTACAAGTCTTACAGCGATTGGGCAAGAAAGAATTCATCTAAATTGAAAGGAAGATTCTGTTCTTGGATGACACAATTTTAAAATCTAAAATTACTAAATGCTGAAGTGAAAAATTTGCTAAATGTAGTAAATGGTATCAATAATGTTTCAGGCTACACAATCAATATGTAAAAATGGATATTCTAAAATGGATATTAAAATAATTTCATTTATGGCAGCATCAAACTGAATATATTTAAGTAAGGAGACAAAAAAATGAACATTGAACACTGTAATATATTGCTGAAATACATTGAAGACATAAGTCATCACAAAGGCATATTCATGATGGTTGCAACATTATGGTGATGACAGTGACAAAGCTAGCTATAGAGTCAATGAAATCAAAACCTCAATGGCATTATTTATGCAGAAATTGAACAATTTAGCCCAATCCATCCCAAACCATCTCAAATAGGTTAAAAAAAATTGAAAAGAACAACAAATTCAGAGGCCTCACATTTACTGTTTTGAAAATTTATGCAAAGCTATACTAATCAAAGCAGTATGAAATTGCTATCAGCACAGACATATAGACCAATGGCATAGAACAGAAAGCCCAGAAATAAACCTTTGTTCCTATGGTCAGTGATTTTTTGAAAGGGTGCCAAGAGCATACAGTGTAGGGAAAAACAGTGTTTTTAACAAAAGTTGCTAAGAGATGATGCCCACGTGCAGCAGAATGCAGTTAAGACAATGACTCTTACCTGATACCATATGCATCCAACAGATTAAATGAATCAAAGACCTAAAAGATTAAATGAATCAAAGACCTAAAAGCAACAGTTAAATCATTGAAATCTTAGAAGAAAAGGTAGGGGGATATCTTTATTAGTTAGATTTGATAATGGATTTTGAAATCAAAAGCACAGGCAATAAAAAGAAAAATAGATAAACCCAACTTCCTGAAAAGTTAAAACTTTTGTGGTGTTCTGGGCCAGGCATCCCCCAATCAAAGTCTCTACTGACAATAAAAGGAACAAAAGAAAGCAGCACAGGACAGAGTCCTGTCACCCACCAGCCTCTGGGCTACTGCCTTCAACTCTAGGACCTGCACCCTTCCCAGGAGATGGCATATGCCAGTCCCCTCCCTGCTCTCCACCCAGGCCTGTCTGAGGATGGCACAGTGCAGTGAAAGGGCTTTGGAAACTGTCAAGTGTTTCAATGAGATCATCGACGGCTACAACTGAAGAGGTAAAGTTTATTCTCAGCCCAACAGCGGAGCTAGGAATGACCAAGTCCATGTCTCCAAGCCAACATCCTTTACCCCTGTCCTGTCCTTCTTTGACTTCTAAGGAGCCTAAAGGAGCCCAGGTTTCATCAACAACACCCAGAGATCAACTGTTCTGAAGACAGGTCTCCAAGTTGTGGAAGAGGAAAGGAAAAACTCTTAGAAGCAAAAAAGCAGGCCTCCCTGGCAGCGCAGGGGTTAAAGACAGCACTATCAAGCTATTGCCAGGAACTGCAGCGCAAGTTCAATCCCTGGCCAGGGAGCTAACCCACATGGCACAGCAGGCCTCTCCTGGCTCACCTGCTGCTCCCCTCAGCAGTATATTTCAGTAGATCTGCCCGTTCTGCTCCCCACTCTCTCTGGTGAATCCTCTCACCACCCACATCTCTGGCCTGTATCCTAGTTCTTATATGCATAAATAAATAAATCTTTAAAAAAAAAAAAAAAGAAGCAAAAAAGCTAAGGATTTTCTAGTAGTGAAACCATGATGTCTATGTGACAACACAGCTGTATCTCCAGAGACCAGTAAAAATAAGGGTCATTGGGTGAAAGGCTGTAACAATATCCAAAGCCCAAAATTCACAGTAAATTTCTAACAGGTGTTGAGCAGGTAGTTCTCAGAAATCACCTGCCATCCAGCTGTTATTGGGCATGCAGGTCACAGACCCAGGCCAAACGGTCGAGCACTGAGAGTCACCGAGAACTCTAAAGTGGCTATTTTCCTTCCCAAGTGGAGAAGTCTCAGGGAACAAATTAGGGGCATTCCTTTTGGTCAGGAACAAGAAAGCCACAGAGGTCCTTTTCCTGGGTCTCACCAAGATGCCCTGCCTCCCTCCTAAGAGCTGTGGTCACCGTGGAAACTTTCTGGCACAGTGACCCTGGTGACAATGTAAGAGGAACTGTGAGGGAAGACCTCTGAGCCACTGGGTGTCGCTAACAGCCAACTCCATGGCAGGAGGCGGAGCTCTAGACTCCATCTGATGCGAATTGATGTTAGAAGCGAGGCTTTCCTGATTCAACCCAATATTTGGTGGTTGATGGGCAAAGGAGTGGCCTGGGATATTTTGATCATTGAACTGCTGAGTTTTGGCACTAGTGGGGTTGGGGTTTGTCAGTTAAACACTGGAAAGGAGGGGTATCCATGGATAAGGCGCCAGCTTGCCACATGTGGCTTTGGCTTTGATGGAGGATAAGAATAGAAAAACTGGAAAGGAGATACAAGGTACAAGATACAAGATAACTCACACAAGGATGTGGGGGTAGAAGGAAATAGCATAATCCATCGACCCAGTTATAGAAACCAAGACCTTTAGGCATCAACACCCAGATCAGGAGGCGCAACACCCAGAAACTATATCAGACTGCTCTAGGGGCACAGGCCATCCACCCACAAAGATGAGCCCCTCCCTGAAGATGATAAAACCAAACGCAGCCCCCACAACGTGGCAACACCCCATCTGCCCACCTGTGACTATGCACCAACTCTGTCCCTCTGCAGAGCAGCAGACTTCCTGCCTGCCCATAACCTGTACCTGCCAGGACTTCTCTTCACTGACCTCCCTCCGCAGAGGCAGCTCTCCCAAGGGCCCCCGCATGCGACTATGCAGGCCTCTCTCAGCAAGACTGTCCCTTTCGGGGCAGCTCTTCCTGCCCGCTGGTGTCTATGCAAGTGTCCTTTATTCTTCTGTCCCTTTCCCTAATAAACCTGCCCTTTAAATATAACTAACATCTCTGTCTCCTGGAGAAAATTGCCTGAGAAATTCGCCGCATGTCACTGAAACGGGAGCGCTGGTGAAACCTTTCCCAGCGTGAACCCAAGGACCCCACACTCCAAAAACCCCATCAGCTTGGACCTTGGTTTCTGCTCAGGAGACATTATCTGGGGTAGGACAAATGCATCTGGTCATGTGTTCACCCTTAAATTCTCTTTTTCTCTCCCTCCTATTGTTTTCCCTCTCAGCTCTCCCCTTTCTTAGTCCCTGTATAAATAAAACAGGTTTTTATTATTTATCTTCTTGTGTCTACTTTTGGTCATTTGCTGTGTTCTTAAGCACACAGGGGAGGGCCCACAAACTGGGTCAATGCAGATCTCCAAGTTTTCCTTGTTTTCCTCGCACAGTGAGTCTAATGATAGGGTGGGCCTGAGGAGCTCCTGGGTCATGGTGTAAGGGACACTCACGCGTCCAGGACGAAAAACACATTGAAGGGTCTTCTGCAGGCAGTATCCAGATCAGCATTCCTCCTTTGGAGATGCTTGCCCTCGTGGAAGTCTTTCCAGCTTGGGAGTTGGTGCAGGAAGCTCCCCGAGCTCAGGATTGTAGGTGACAGCACAAGCAGCAGGAAGAGTGCAGGCCCAGGTCCCCCAGGACAGTCACTTCCCATTTTCTTCGCTGCCCCTGAGGCCGTAATGGACACTAGCCCTTTCAGATCACTCGGACTGAGTCTCCACTACTTTTTCAAGTGTCCAGGGGACTCCAACCCCAACCCTTCCTTTAACCAAGTCTCCTTGTGAGGATCCCCTTAGTATCTGCTCTGGGGGCAGAGTTGGAATGATTCTGGGTGCAGGCTCCATTGCCTGCCAGGGTGCCTCCCTGACCCATAGAGACATAATGCCCTGTGTTGTGATAGACAGGAAGGTTGGCGTGGCGACTCTGTGACCTGCAGCTCTGCTCACTCTCTTGCCTACTTACATACCCACATTGGGATCACAGGATCCCTGATGGGACTGTGAGAGGAGGCTCCATTTTTCCCATATCCTGAGCCCTCAGTGGAGGCCATTAATATTCTCCAGAAACCGAGTCACAGTAAACTGACAGAGCAGCTGCAGTATCTTAGAGAACTACATCACTGAGGGTGAGGGGGTGAAGCCTAGGAGACTAGAGTGTTGTAATGGTCATTCGTGTAAACACTGAATTCTCCTAGGGGAAGGAAGGATCTAGAAGGGGAAGACAGCGCATCAAAATCTTATGTGAAGGAAGGATATTGCTGTTATCTACTGCTGTAAAACAACCGCCCCAAGCTCGTGACATCAATGAAGAACCATTTGACTATGCTCACGGCTTCCATGGACCAGAAAATCAGAGAGGGTGAGTGGAATGGCTTGTCCTGCTCTTTGGAAAAACGTATTTATACACAATTTTGATGAAAAGTGATACAAAACTCAGCCTTTGAGTGTAAATAAGTTTTACAAATAATGCAACTTATTTTTGTTTCTTCATTTCCTCCATAAAAGTGGATTGATATCTGCTAAAAAACCTTTCTGTCACAAATCTGCAATGATTTTTCTCCACATATAACAGAAACTAGAAGTGACAAGCGTAATGTTCTGTGTCAGATAGTAATTTTCAAATGCAGGTAGTAGACATAGAGTTGCTTGTTGCACAATTGATTTTCTTTTATGTAGGGCATTTCAAAATGCCCGTAATGAAAGGTTAGAAACAACTTCCATAGAATTCTATGAAAAATAAGACCATGGCCACATCCAAGCAGCAGTTACGTTAAAGCCGCTAATGAGCGGAATAGATTAAAAGCTGTGGGGAACCAAGGAGACATGTGACCAGGAAAAGCTCTGAGGGGAGGATCCCTGAGAGGATGATCTAGAAGGATGGGTGGGCTACAACCTTATTCAGCTGCAAGGAGAGGAAATGAAGTGGGCCACAGCCAGGGACGTGGGCACAGCCAGGGACGTGGGCACAGCCAGGCTCCATCCAAGAGGCAGTCTCTGTCCTTATGGCATGTGACACTCAGGAAATGGACCCAGTTAGAGTTCAGAATTACCTGGTCTCTCCATAGTCCTAATGCCCCTACCATAAATAGGCGCTGCTATTTTCCTAGCCTTGCTAATCTAAGGAAAAGAGGCTTGACTATAAATCACCAAAACATAAGGAGCAATGCTGGATAAGGTGGACAGGATTCACTTACTCCTCAGTCCCCCAAATGTCTCAGGAAGCAGTGTTCCTTCAGTTAGAGAGAGGACCATGGTGTGAGCCTTCTCTTCTGTGGGAGAAGCAGGGAATGATCTGGTCAGTAAAGGAACCCAGAGTGACCTATTATGGGAGCCTGGATTATTGTGTGCCTCACACAATAATCTTTGTCTTTGCCTTGATTATTCTTTGCTTTGACTGTCCTGTGCCTTTCAGTGTGCAGAAACAGGGAAAGTTGATAAGGAACCTTTCAGGGCAAAAGTCCTGGTATGAGATCTATACATGCTGAAAACAGCATGTGCAGAAACAGCAATAGAAGCTGTGGTTAGAGTAGCAAAAACACTGAGGCTTCCCTTGCCTATCTCCCTATTTTCCCAACCTTGTGTGGAGCCAGCTGGTTATGAAGGATGGTGGCCTGAGATAAGCAGCCTGGGGGGCTTAGTAACAACTTTGCTCAGTTCCTGGTATGCAGCTTACTTCCTGGTGTGAATCTTCCTTCATCTTAGACCATGTACCACCATGAGGCAGAATGGAACTGGGGGGGTCCTCCTTGGTATGCAACTATACAAGTCACTTCTTGGTATGTAGTCATGTCCTATCTGACCATGTATAGCTGCCAATGCAAACCCACCCAGAACCCTGCAGAAATTGAAAGTGTGTGAGCCCCTGACTTCCTACAAACAGAATGCGAATCTGCTGAGGCAGCACTGATGCAATAAATCTGCTTCTTGTTAGCCCTGGTGTCTAAGTTTCCCTTCTGCCATATAACAGTTACATGTCCCCACACACTTGGACATTCCCCAGTTTCTTGCTTGCTTCTTTGATCTTTTTTATTTTCTGTCTGATTCTAAATAAAAACAGGACTGCCTTGGAGCTGGACTGCATCTTCATGGTACAGTACCTCTAGGCTTTGCACTGGACTCTGAGTAATCCTTTTTCATCCTGCTGCCACATGTCGTAACAAGACAACATACCCTGGTGACAAGGCACTGCTCGCCAGCTTCTTCCTCCTGGGAGAGGCTGCCAGACCCCAGTACCCACTGTGCTGAGCACCTCCAGCAGCTGCCTGGAGGGAGAAGGCACCTTAGATAACCCACTATACAGAGGAGGAGACTGAGCCTGGCTCAGGACTTTTCTTACTGGATTCTCACTGTAACCAGATGACAGAACCTTATTCCTGAGAGTTGAGTTCACTATTTCACTAACAAGGGCAGGCCTTCCCCATGAGCAATGGGGGAGCAGTCACACCCAATTGAACAAGACATCCCACAGGCTCAGAGGATACTGGGGGTGCTCCTGCTACCACTGCAAGCCCAGTTAGTCAGAAACCAAGGTCAGAGGTGCTTGGGATTTGACCCTGAGTCCAGCTGAAAGTCTTTCCCCACTAATTCCCCCCTGCCCCCCACCCATCTTTCCATCTTTCCTGCTCAGAGCTTCCACCCTGTAATCTCAAGTTCAAAGGAGACGGTGCTGGGCTGACACAGCTGTTTGCCTTGGGGACACACAGACTCAGGAGGAGCTTCAGCCCGAGAGAAGGAGATGAAGGGAAGGAGGCAGCCCCAGCCATGTGAACATGGCAGAGTGTGCACAGCAAGGAGAAAATCAAGCTCTTTTCTTCCATTAGCTGAATCCTGTCTGCTCCAGGTGCCCTGGCCTTTCTTCCTTTTCCACACAGCTCAACTGCAGGTCAGGTGCCTCATACTATTGTAGAGACTCCCCCTAGACGCAGACCCAAGTCTGAATCAGATTTAGAGAAAGCCTTTATTAGTTGGCAAGCAGCTGTCCCTCTCCTAGGGAGCAGCCCCGAGCAGGAGGTGATAAGGGTTTTTAAAGCCAAAAACCACATCCGGGAGTTTGGAGGTGCCAGAGCAAGCAGGAGTACAGAAGCCAAAATGTGCTGTTTCAAGCAACAGAGTATTTTTTTTTTAAGATTTATTTATTTATACAAGCACTGGGTATAGTCAGAAGCGCGGGAGGGTGAGAGAATTCACCAGAGCCAGAGCAGGGAGCAGAGCAGGCAGAAGGCGGAAGCACACTGCTGAGGGGAGCAGTGGGAGGCAGGAGAGGTCTGTGCCCCACACCATGTGGAACCCTCCTCCAGTGGCCGGGGAGCAGCCGGGGATCGAACCGGCGCTGCAGAGGCTGCAGGCAGCTTCGCAACCCAGCACTCAGCCGCTGCGCCACTGGGGAGGCCCAGCAACAGAGTATTTCACCACATCCCAGGTTCCAGGTACAAAGGGTACATACATCTTATTTCTCTGACGGGAACCTGGCCTCTGTTGTTTTGGGCTGGAATTTTCCCACGGTCCTAAATTGTCCTCCTGAGATGGCTCAAGCGTAGGCCTTGCGTGGTCTGCTACATTTCACATTGCCCCCATTTCACATACTTAATAAATACCAAGAATGCCCACACAGAACCCCACATTGTTCTCAGAAGAATCACAGGAGCTGGGTTTCCCTTCTGTGCACAGACAGGAGACTGGTGCACAGAGAGGGCAGAAAACTTGCTCAAGAGGCAGCTGGAAAGGCCTTACCAGACTGCTTAGCCCCTGGCCTGACAGTAAGGATTTCAGCAGGAGCTCACCTGTTGTGAACACATGTGGATACCTAAGGCCCCTTTGTTCTTGGGATACTGTCTTGGTGCCCAGAGTTCCTGCTGGTCAAGCTAAAACATAGAGTCAGGCAGGGGGCCTCTTACCAGGACAAAAGTCTTGGTATAAGGAACATACAGGAAAACCAGTATCTACTGAAAACAGCAGGCAGACATTATGGCCAGATAGCCATTATAGCATAACCAGAGAGCTTACCTGGACAGATAAGTGTAAACAAGGACTAGAGATAGGATGCTTTGATCAGCAACAACAATGGACACCCCACCCACACCCAGGCAACAGTCCTCATTCATTCCTCCTCATCTTGTGCCAGACATGTATGCATCCCAAATCCACATCCCCACCAGGCACATTCCTCCACACATCCCTCCATGCACTTGCCCACCTTCCTGAATGTGATTCCCAGTAAATGTGAGACTGCACTGGAAAGGGGCTGCACCCCCTGTGGTGTGAGCCCCTCAGGTCACTCTCTCTACTTCGACTTCAAGTTGTCTTTCTTCTGCCCCACATCGCTCCCAACATCACTGCCCTGTGAGGTGATAGAGGGTGACCCCCACATGATCATCTTGAAACAATAGCATGGGACCAACCTCCTGCACCCCAAGAAAAATGGAAGAAAAATGGAAGAGTAACTAAATGGTGGAATTGCCCCCAGAAGTGGGGAGCCCGACAAAAGGATGGACTCATCCCTAGAAGACCGGAGCCTGACGAAATGGTAAATGAAGATATCCGACGTCATTTTAGGTCAGTAAAACAGCAGAGGGTGGTAGATTTAGCCGCACAAGTCTGGGGTGGTCAGTTAGATTTTGTTCACCTGGAGGTTTCTTTTATCCTATCTCTGCCTCTTCCTTTATTTTTGTTTTTGCAAAAAGTAGGCTGGAAAAGCCATACGTCATATGTTCTCTTAAATAAGACAGAAAGGTCTCCTGGAAAATGTTTCTCTCTTGGTAAACGGTTTCCTTCATTCCGGAGCCAATTTAGAGACCATGAGAAAAGGTCAACAGTTAAGCACTACAAGGGCAGCCACCA